TTGACATCATGAAGGTGCACCAAGCGCAACATTAGATTTATGCAAATGCAAATCACGAATTGGCACTCCAAGACCTAAAAATTAGCCAAACTAGGCATGCAATACACTAAAACACATATATGCAACATCTACAACTCAAATCCAAATCCCAATTCAACATGAAAGCAAGTACAAATCAAAATCACAAAGTTTCCTATCTTGAAACCAAACACACACAATTTCACCATCTTTTGCCAAAATCATGCAATTCCTAACACACCATCACAACCAAACAACAACAATTGCATAGATATAGGATATAGCTCAACCATTCAATCATGAATTCATTTATAGTTCCCCTTACCTCTAAATATCAAGATTTGTGAGAGAAGAGGAACAAAAGAATGAGCTTCCAAGCATTAAGCACCCAACTCCACACACAATTTTGATTCTCAGCCTAGCTTTGAATCCCCCAACCACGAATCTCATGCACCAAACAGATCTAAAAGAAGAAAGAAAGAAGAAAACTTCAAGATCCATATCATATGTCTCTAGAACTCTCTCTATAAGATTTTGAAAAATGTAAACTTATGAGACTCAATTCTTATTAGAAGTCGTATATATTTTTTCCCTTCTGAGTCAACTAAACCTTTAGTCAAAGACCCTCAAACTAACCAAACTCTTATGAGTTCCTTAATTCTCAGAATTATTCAACACATCTCAAGCACCCAGTAAACAATTATTACAAAACAAAACTAATGATTTTTTGAAAAAGGGTTTGATGAAAATATGTAGTAAATAAAGTTTAAATTATAATTGCTTGATAAAATAAAATTAGGTGAAAAATAAATAAAAAACAATATTTTAAAATAATATTTTATATAATTAAATTTCGTGTAAAAATATATAATTTGAACACTTATCATTTTACCTCTTGTCTTTGTTTTTGACGAATAATATTTAGCATGCATTTTTACAATGATCACATGATCGACTATATCAACCGAATAGTTGAGTATGTGGCTTTGTTACACTTCTAACCTACTGCATAATAGATTATGTTTATATCATAATCAATTATAATGATCTTCTGTACACAAATAACATATTACGATAATAGATTAGGATCGTACCCTAATTGATTATAGTGACACATAAGTGCATTCAATAAAGATATTTTGTTATCAAAATTTTAAGCATAGTAATTCTGCTCGAATTCGCGTAATTTTAAAGGTGATAAATTTGACATGGAAACCAAATATCAATATGCCTGATTTCCCCTAACTTCATTTTACCAATAACAAATGTTTTTTTTTTCTTTCAAAAGAGAATCATACCTTTTCTCTCTCATTCCTCTTCACTCTACACTAATTTCAGCTCCAAACACAATGTAACAAATATCTTTTAAATATTAATTTATAAGAAATATTAAATTTCTCTTATTAAATATTCTTAATTATTTAAAGAATATTTTAAATGTCTTCTATATTTATTAAAAGAAAAAGAGTTCTAATTTCTAATTCAATATAAATGATTTAATTTTTAATGAAGACTTGTCCCTTTCGTTTTCTTATTTGAGTATATGATGAAGTGCATTGGTCAAAACAAGATACATCATTTTACTTAATTAATCATTTGAAAAAAATTTGTATCCAATAATTAATATATACATATATATATATATATATATATATATAATATGAGGGATTCACTTACTTCAAGAGGAAGTTTTGATAAACTTACTTCACTTACTAACTCATGTTTTTTTTTTGGTAAAGAGTGAAAACTAAAAAGTAGACAACTCAAGACATTGAGTCTCTCCCTAATGGTAACAGGATAAAGTCTGGAGGACTCCTCCAAAATACATTGGAACCTATGTTCCTTACACCCCAATTAGCAAGCGTATGAGCTACTGAATTTATCTCTCGAGGAATATGACTTACATGAACTTCCCAGTCCCTAGTTAGCATGCGCTTTATACGACGAATAACATCATAGTGCTTATGCAGGTAATCCCTATCCGTTGACCGATCTTGAAACAGCGTAACAGCGCCCAGGCAATCACAATCACAACTCACTTTCCGAAACCCACCATCCCAACAAAACGCTAGGCCATCCTCCAAGGCCAACAGCTCGGCACGTAACGCATCACCATGTAAAACACCACGCGAGAAACCCCCCCGCCACATTCCTGCCGAATCTCGAATTACTCCACCCATCCCCATAGCAGACGTCCCACTCACCCAACTCCCGTCCGTGTTTAGTTTGACCCACGGATGCTCCGGAGGCCTCCATATGGCATGCTCTGCCCATAGACGTTGCTTAGCGTTATACACACTATTCTCCACCGTAGATAGTGTCATCTTCCGAAGGACCGCCGAAATCGTCCAAAGCTCGTCGTTAAATAGCATGTTATTCCTAAACCGCCAAACCCACCACAGGGTGATGGATAGCTTGATCGCCTCGTTATGCAAAATAATCCTCTTCAGCCACTGAAAGCAATCCATTCCAGAGAAAAACCACCCTGCATTGATCCCGTCAGCCATCAGCACCTCTCGCGAATAAGGACAATCCCGAAGTGCATGTAAAATGGTTTCTTGAGGGCAAGAGCAACGCGAGCAAGCCCCAGATTCGGCCAACCTCCTATCAGCCCGAACCTGATTCGTTGGAAGGGCTGAGTGAAGGCATTGCCACAGAAAGAACTTAACCTTCTCAGGGATCCTTAACTTCCAGGTCTTCTTCCAAACTTCATCCCCTTTAGTTGACAGCACCGTGGTCAGAAAATGATACCCAGATGCCGCTGTATAGCAACATGAGCTATCGCCTCTCCAAGCAAAGTGATCCAGCCCCAAAAGGGAATTGTCGACGCTCAACCGTTGGACCGAGTTTATCAGCTCCGTCGGGAGAACAGTATACAAGGCAGTGAAATTCCATTCTCCTCTAACCCAGCAGTCTGCGACCGTTTTGTTGGTGTCTGCAATATGAACGAAAGGAACTCTCCCGCACCAAAGTCCAGTACCTGACCAGTCCGTGTACCAAAGGGAAGAGGCCCCCGACCCTAGTTGAGGCTCGAATCCCTCACGAAGAGAAGGAAGGGCCTTAATAAGACTAGACCAGGTTGGAGAAACACCCCTCCTGTGTTGAGCGCACAATATAGAGTCCCCATGTAGATAACGATCGCTGAGGATTTGAACCCAAGGCTTCTGAGGAGCGGTAAGCATATCCCAAACTAACTTCCCAAGAAGTGATACATTCGCCCTTCGCGCCTCCTTAACTCCAAGGCCACCCAACTCTTGTGGTTGCGTAACAACATCCCAGCTCACTGGAGACCAGAACCGGGTGTTGTCAGATTTTGCCCAGAGCATACGACGATAAGCCTGATCAATTTTATTACACACTGCTTGAGGAAGCCACAATGTTTGCATGCTATAAACTGGAATAGAGGAGACGATAGACTTCACCAGACACAACTTACCTGCCTTATTGAGAAGCTTGGACTTCCAAGCCGCAAGTCGATTCTGGATTTTGTCCAGCACATCATAAAAATCTGCGCACCTCGGCTGACCATGCGTCATGGGAACCCCCAGATACTTCCCAATCCGAGCCGTGTGGCCAATCCCAAGCAAGCCCTCTAATGTATTTATCCTCCTCAGTGAAACCCTTTTAGAGCTCACAAACATAGACTTAGTCAAATTGACGCTCAAGCCTGATGAGCACGAAAACTCCTCCAAGGTTGACGCCACCAACTGAGCTTGGTCATTTGAAGCTTGACAAAACAGTAAAATATCATCAGCAAAGAACAGGTGTGATAGCGGTAAACCCCCAGGAGATAGCTGAATCGGTTTCCAATGACCCTCCTGGAGCAACTCAGAGATCCCAAGGGCTAGGCGCTCCATGCAAAAAACAAACAGATACGGAGATAATGGGTCTCTCTGCCGAAGGCCACGAGACGGAACAAAGGGCGGTAGGGAACTGCCATTCCAAAGGAGTGAGATGGACGAATTCTTCAAGGCCCACATGATAAGTTGAATGGTGATTCTTGGAAAACCAAACTGCACCAGCGTAGACTCCAAAAAGTCCCACCTGACCCTGTCATACGCCTTTTCAAGGTCAATTCTTAAGGCCAAGGATCCCACACCAGAACCTTCCTTCTGTACGAAGTGGAAGGCCTCTTGAGCAACAATACTATGATCCCGAGTCCCCCTCCCAGGGATAAAGCTACCCTGGAAAGGACCAATGACGTCCTGCAGGAAGGGTCTAAGACGAGCCACAAGCACTTTAGAAATAACCTTCCAGGAAACGTTACATAAGCTGATAGGACGAAACTCTTTGAGACTCACCGGATGATCCACCTTCGGAATTAACACCATTTGTGTCTCCAAGAGTGATAAGTCCGAGTACCCCAACCGAAAGGCATCCTTCACTGTACGCCATAGTTCACCACCCACAATGGGCCAGTACTGCTTAAAGAAGAACGATTGAAACCCATCCGGCCCTGGTGCCTTGAAAGACTTCATGCTCATCACCGCCCGGCGAACCTCCTCCTTCGTGACTGGGGCCGTTAAGGCAGATAGGGCTGCACCACCCAGGCCAGGTGGAGCCCCCGCATGCATGTCTAGAGGCCCGTGGTCGTTATTGATCGAGAAAAGCTCCTTATAGAATCCGATTGCCTCTGTTTTCATTACCACCAGATCCATGTGCCAAGACCCATCTGGAAGCAACAACCCCTGTATCTTATTCCTCCTTCTTCGTGCGAGAGTTTGAGCATGGAAGAAAGACGTATTTCGGTCCCCAAACCTCACCCACTTCTCTCTAGATTTTTGAAACCATAGATACTCCTCCTGAAGACAAGTTTCGTCCAGCTCCGCTTGTATAGCCTTTTCTAAGCGTGACAAGCTCTCCGATTCCCCTAACTCGAGTTGTAGCTGAACCCCTTTGAGACGTCGTTGCAGAGTCTTTTTTCTCATAATAATATTCCCAAACACTTCGTTATTAAACTTGATGGCATCTACACGAACAGCTTATAACCCATTGGCAAGGGTCGGCGTGCTACGGCACCACGCCTCCCTAACAATTTGCTCAAAATCCCTATGAGTGGCCCAAGCAGCTTGAAACCGAAATGGTCGATCTTGAGACTTTTCTCGTGAGCCTTCACGCCGCAATAATAGAGGGTAATGATCAGAGTAGACCCTGCACAGATTCTCAACATATGCTTCCGGAAACATTGCTTGCCACGCAACGTTACACACTGCACGGTCTAACCGCTTTGCCAACACAACCCCACGTTGGTTTCGGTACCACGTAAAGCGGAGACCCTTAGCCCCCATGTCAAGAAGATTACACTCATTCAAAACCTCCAGAAACTGTGATGCCCGTGCCATCGAGAAACGACCACCCCTACACTCCGTTGACAGCAAGATTTCGTTAAAGTCTCCAAGCACTAACCATGGCAGCGTAACCCGGCCCCCCAACTCCCAAAGATGAGCCCAAACCTGCTGTCTGAGATCCATCTGAGGATTAGCATAGACGACGGTACACACCCAATTTTTGCTTCCTTCCGCAACCGTAAACGAGATGGCCTGAGGGTGAGAGGCAAATTCGGATAAAATAGCAACGCAAGACATTGCCATCAAAATCCAAATACCCCCGGAATGCCCCGTAGCCTCAATACTATAACACAATTTATAGTCCAGCTTCTTCCAAAAAGATTCCACTGAAGAAAATTGGCAATGGGTTTCCAAAATAATAAAAATAGATTAAATTTGCTATAACACAATACTATAACACAATTTACTAACTCATGTTTTACATCAAATTTCAATGATCTAACCATTAAATTAAAAAAAAATTTAATTTATAGTTTAAATTTGTAAATTTTTATAAAACTTGAAAAATATTTAATACTCTATTTTATTAATGAAAATTGATGGATAATTATAAATAAAAATATTTTTTATTTGATTTAAATTTATATAAATAAGTATTATATGATTTTCAAATTTTTTTAAAAATTGTAAACCTGTACATTAAGAATGGTTAATTTAACCATTGAATTATTAAAATTTTATATAATTTTATGTAGAACATAAGTTATTGAATAAAACAAGTATAGACTTATTCTCTCTCTCTCTCTACATATATATATATATATATATATATATATATATATCTCAACA